GATCACGGCTGATGAACTGTTAGCTTATAACAAAACTTCCAAAAGCATGAAGGCCCCAGGTTTCGACAACATCGTGAATCGGGAGCTCAATCAGTGCCTCCGAGTTGGCTTAAGTCATCCTCATTCGAAAACCTGGGAAGGATCCTTCCTCTCCTTCAAGTTACCGACCCATCAGCCTTCTCTCAGGGTTATCCAAGCTGTTCAAAAGGGCAGTTTACAGCCGGCTTCTAACATCTGCCGTAGAAAACAACATCTTACTCGAGAAGCAGTTTGATTTCGAAAATGTCGATCGATCGTCCCCCAACTGACGAGAGTAACAAACATTCTTAGACGGAACAAGGCTGTTTCTACAACATCTGCTATGGCATTGTTAGACGTTGAAAAAGCGTTTGACATTGTCTGGCATGATGGCCTGATGTACAAGTTGCATCGATACGGTCTTCCGATCTTCCTCGTGAAGATCATACAAAATTATCTATCGGACAGGACGTTCCAGGTCTTTCTGAATGGCATCACATCGGATGCCTTCGACATCGGTGCAGGTGTGAGCCAAGGAAGTATCCTTGGGCCCATTCTGCTCAATCGATTCACCTCCGATATTCCGGCTCTCCCTGATGGTGGATCGTTGTCTCTGTTCGCAGACGACACACCCATCGTCTACAAGGGAAGGGTCATCGGAGCTCTGACTATAAAACTCCAGAGAGGCTTGGATGTCCTGTCTGAGTAATTCAATAGCTGGAAGATCCGTATCAATCTGGCGAAGACCCGGGTCATAATTATTCCACACTCAAAATCTCCCAGTTTTGTGTTCACTCGGCTGTCGACAAAAGCAGGCCACTCTCGATGTGTGCCACGCGATCGTCTGTTTTCTCGGCAGCAACCATTGTGTGATCCTCCTCATTGTTCTTCATCAGCAGTTCTTTCGGTCGATGCGTCGTCGACTTTGGAAAGCAACCGTTTCGTGATGAGTGTGTGAGTGCTGATCACGTTTTGCGTCCATTGCTGCAATTGAAGCGCTCTGACCCACGTTGGCGTAACTGCCATACAATGAAACCACTGGAAGCGGTTCCAGTTCTGATGGAGGAGGCTTTTTGGATAGTGGAAGATAAAGTGTTTATTGTGTTGTACCTTTTGACTATAGTCTTAAGATGTATTGTATAGTGACCAAGAATACTCGGCTCTGTGAAGTTAATTTTTTGAGTCTTATCAAAAAAATCAATAAACAAATTAAAAACTCCCAGACTTCTTCCGTCTGAGAATAACAAAATATGCCTAAACGGCACAGTGGTAGAGTGGTCCAAAGAGGTAGTCTACCGCGGACTATTACTCGACAGCAAGCTGATTTTCAGGGAGCATGTTGACAAAACAAACCGCTTATCAATAGGAGATCCACCCTATCCCTGAAAAACAAGCTTGCTGTCTACAAGCAAATAATCCTTTACGTCATAGAGTATGAGTTGCCAATCTAGGAGAGTTGCGCAAATTCTCATCACCTAAAACTATAAAAAGGATCCAGAACAAGATCCTCAGGATGATCCTCAACAGTCCACCGCGTCCTAGAAATTCTGTGTTCCACCGCCTGGCTGGGCTTCAGACCTTGGCGTTACGGAGAACTGCTACCATCGAAAGGTTCAGAGATTCCTGCATGCAATCCGATCATCAGATCATTAGGGTTCTGGCACGTTAGGTTAGGCAACTAGCTTAAGTAGGTAGAATATTAAATTTTCTAATTTAAATCAACAAACAATGCAAAATGTAAACTATTACAATGTAAAACTAAAATCAAACAGTAACTTGTTACAGACATAATCACCAAAGATGAAGAGCTTTCGGGCTAAAGGTCAATGAAATTTATAAACAGCTTCTAGTTATCCTATCATTTTAGGCACCGAAACAAGTTGGGATGCCAGCTTAAATAGTAGAGAAGTTTTCAGAGATCGCTACAATGTGTTTAGGGATGATCGTAAAAAAACGTTATCCAACAAAAAGTCTGGTGGAGGTGTATTAATCGCAGTGTGTACCGACTATGAATCGGAAAAGATTGAATCAAGCAAGAGTAAGGAGTTTGATAATGTTTGGGTCAAATGTTTTACTGGAAATAAATTCACATCTTTGCGACAGTGTATTTTCCTTCTGAAAGTGCCAAAAAAGAATCATATGAATTGTTTTTTAGTATTGCTGATACAATTATTTCTAAATGTGAGCCTGAAGCAAATGTTCATATTTACGGTGACTTTAATCAACGAGCAGCAAATTTAATTGTTGACGACGAAAATGAATCTGATTGATACCGATTGTTGGAGACAACGAAACGCTCCATTCTTTATTTGACAAAAGCGCAGAGATTGGAATTTATCAAGTCAATAATGTCATAAATCATAACAATTGTTATTTAGATTTATTATTTACGAATATGACCGATGATTTCTGCGTGATTGAGGCTCCTGCACCTCTATGGAAAAATGAAATATTTTATACTGCATACTCGATAACACCATAATGTTGGATGGCGATTTGTTGTAAACCTATTTTGACTTAAGACATGCAAACTATGAGCTAATCAAAAACAATTTAAATTCTATTGACTGGCATAGTTTGATTAGAAATTCGAGCCCGGAGCAGGCTGTAGATATGTTCTATGAAATTGTATACGATATATTAGAGACGACAGTACCGAAAAAGCTAAGGAAAAAATCAAAGAAATCTAAAACACCAGCATGGTACAATAGGCAAATAAATAATCTCAAAAATAGAAAACAAAAGGCTCATAAAGCCTATAAAAAAGAACCAAATAAAAGTAACCTCGCAATTTATTCGAACATATGCGATCATTTGAACTGTGAAATAAAAAAAAACGCATACGAACGGTATAACACTCAGGTTGAAGACAACATTAAATGAGACCCAAAATCATTTTTTAGCTTTGTTAGAGACAAACAGAAGTCAAATAATTATCCTTCGTAAATTTATCTAGACAACAAAACAGGAAAAATGACTAGCGAGATCAATAACTTATTTGCTGAGTTTTTTCAGGATATTTACACAAGTTATGATGACCAAGACCGGGATTACCAGTATTTCTCATACCTTCTTGAGCCAATGAGAGATATTGTAGTTAATAATCCCAAGTAGCATTGCTAGTTTTATCGAGGTTTTCAAAGCATTCTACAAGTCCAAATCATGCTCTACAGAACCCTCATAAAACCAACATTGTTACTTGGGATGTTACCCTCAACGAAATCTTACATTCTCTTAATACATTGGATGCATCAAAGGGTGCAGGACTAGATGGATTGCCACCACTATTCTTGAAATCAGTATCGCAGAAGATAGTAAAGCCATTGTTCTGGCTGTTCAACTCTTCTCTCGAATGCTGTTTTCTACCGTCATTTTGGAAGGAATCGTATTTGAATCCAATTTACAAAGGTGGAAAAAATCAGACGCAAAAAATTAGCGTGGAGTTGCTAAATTGTTCTGCATTCCTAAACTCTTTGAATCTATAATAAAACAAAGTGTTTTTGCACAAGTTAAACATTTAATTACAGGCAAACAGCATGGTTTTGTTAAAGGACGTTCACCGACCAGCATCCTGCATTCGCATCCAGTGCATAATTTATCTAATCCAGTAACGATTTCCAAGTTGTTAAAGCAAATTTGTTAGCTCGATTGTCCTATGAAATTTCATGAGAATCATCTTTGACAAACCAGTTAACAATACTAATTAGCAAATAACTTGCGAACAAAAAGGTGCCACATAAATTGACAACGTTCAAACTACAGCAGGACACACATTTCAGAACACCATACAACCCATCACCCTGAGGCCTCTTATCGAACGGTCTTCATCAAAAAATCCAAAACACTTTGGGAAACAAAAGCATTCTGTCAAGCAGCTTGGAAACCCTCATGAAAAGCCATAAAGCCTCCACGCAAGAAATCAACGACCCAAAACCCTCAGGTGCTTCCTGCGTGCAGAACCACTTTTCGATATGATGACTTTTCTGCCCGGCATTCGAAATTCCATTCGTTCTTCTGATATGATAACCGACAAACCACCACCATCCATCCATTCATCCCGAAGATTTCCGTTGCGAACGAAGACTGCGTGTGCTGGTATGAATCCCCCTTTCGTGGCTTCTGGTGGTGGTGGAGGTTGGAAGGGTGCAAAACTCTTTTAAGGGTTCTTCTCGAGTTCATACTTTGGCATTCAGTTTTACAAAACTCTTCTTCTGGTTCCCTCCGCTTTCAGAGGGCGGCGATAGATAACAATATTTGCATTCGAGTGTCCCTTTACCCGACCGTCCGGGTAAAGGGCTTGAAAGAAAATTCAAAGATTGAGAGGATACCTTTTCGCACTGACTATGGGACTTCTTCGGTCCGAGTGGGGGTGAAGGAAAAAGTTGTTTGGTGACCTCTGGCTGTTGGGTAGCAGGCCATCCAGGACCGTAACCAGCCGTCAGCCAGCATCTTTTTCTTTGCTTCTTGTTGTTGCTGGAATGTTGCTGGTTGAACAAGTTGTTTATCGGAAAGTTTTGTCCATTGCCCGAAAGGTATGTTCCGAACAATCTGTGTTAATTTGAAAGGGGGTTAAGTTTTCAACGAGTTCCCTGCACAATGTATTGATCAATGCTGCTTTCGGAGAGTTTGTGGGGGCTTTAGATGTGAGATAATTTTTCTTTAGAAAGGTTTCACCAGTTCTTCGAAGCGTACCCGACGTGATTGGTTATTATTAAAGATGAAGCTGATTTAATCAATATCTGCAGAGTGTCAAGGATCCGTCAATCTGCTTATAAATATGTGTAATCAATATGAATCATTATTGTAAATTCAAGCACGTACACTTTCATTTACACTTGGATCAGCTACGTCAATTGATGAATATTTTCACCCTGTTAAGCCACCGATGATCCTGCAATTTGATTGAGTTTATAGGAATACCCTCCCTCGCACCATCGAAAGCATCAAGTTGTTGTTCATGAACAATCGAGTTAATCACTTACCGGCATTTCGTTGACGTACCACGTCAGGTTGGCTGCTGGTCGTGAGTGGGCCGAGGAGCAATTGCCACGGACGATATCACCCAGCCGGTACCGTGGTCGGATTCCATGAATGAGCGGCACGTGCTTCGGAACCTCTGAAATGAAATGGAATCAAACACCCCCGAATAAACAAGAAATTAATATTAAGTGACGAGTGCCGGGTTTTTAAAATTCACACTGCATTCAATAAATTTCGGATGCGCACTGCCGCAAAAAAAAGCACCGCCCACCTCCACTGAAGTACTCTGTGATAGTACGAATGAATCCGATATTGAAACACAATCGGGGAAAAACAATCTCGAACTTCGCCGACCGAGTGAAAATTGCTAATTAATTAATTAACCAGCTGGAAAATTATAATAATGGCTCCATTTATCTCGTCCCGTCAAATGCGCTGATCATTTGAAAATTCTCGATAATGTGTTTCCTCCCGGTTTCCACTTTTCCGGCGAGCTTTGTTTGGATAGTTCCTATCGTCACATCGTCGATGATGTCAGGCTCTTTGTCAAAATGGGACACAGTTTCAAACACACACAAACACACTCATCATGGAAATGTCGAATCAAACTTTCCATACCAGCTGCAGCAACGATGATGATATGCATTATTATGCATTTCGAACAGCGAAAAACGAGCCAATCAAAACATATCGAGTTGCAGCATTTCGATGGAAGCGTGCAGAGCTTCATACTCGACGGTAAATATCATAATTGAATGATGCAAACCAATTATCGACGAATAATTTATGACACTCATTATAAATTTTACGAATCCCTGCTGCGACGAGTGAAAGCCAGCGAGAGAAAGAGATGGGTAGACACAGTTGCACGGAAGCATATGCCACTTGCGCTGCTCCAGAGTATCGGGACGTGATAATACTGATGCTTATGGTTGTGATAATTAATTGTTTAATTAATCAATATGGTTCATTCCACAGGGAGGAAGAGATTGCTCATTTCAATGCTAGTGGAATGGTGCTATCAGGGCTGCGGAGTTGAATCTAAATCGACCGACTCCGACTCCTTTGATTTGAAAATAGTCAACTCCGACTCCTCGACTTCGACTACTTTTCAAACAAAATCCAATAAGAATTTAAATGTATACCACTTCAGTTTTACATTGCTCCAATAATTTATACAGAGCATTGTGTGCTACATTTAACTCATTGACACCCAGTGATCTGTTCATCGATTAGTTACATTGTTGATTACTGTCGATAAAATAGAGCTACATGTCTTCATCAATATTGTTCTATGGGCCAATCTCTTGAAAATAATAAAAATGTAGGTCGAAATTAACTCACTAGGTGGTGCTAGTAGAAAACTTCGTTTTCTCAACTTTTATAGAATAAGCTTCTCGTTATATGTGATAGATAGAAGAATGCGGTCTTCTGCAAAGTTGATTAAGTTTAAAAAAAAACCTACACAACTTTCTATCTCTTTTTGCTCAGAACTCTCTCACAAGGTGGTTCTGGTGTTCATGTGAAATTTGTGAACTCATGATCCAGCCTTTTGTGTTCGTCTCTACCCAAGGAACATTTTCTACATTGAAAAAACAATCAAACAAAAATGGCCGAATCGAACATTTTAAAGGACATTTCTTATAAATGGCACTCTAGAGTGTCATACATAAGCATATTGCGTTACTTTCACACAAATGAGTTTTCTATAATTATTCTGACATTGCTTTTAAACCAAGAACAAAAAATCTTTCTACCAAACTGAGAACCTTACTTAACAGTCTCCAACGTTGAGTTTATTTAAACTCAATTTTGAGTACTTTTTCCTTATCGCGTAGATGGTGTTCACATTTCGCCATTTGACAGGTATGTTTTTGCTTCGTCAGTTCATATTGATATTTTGTTTAGTGACGCATCTTCAGATTGGCAGTCCATGTTTAGTGATTTTGGAAATGATTTCAGTGGAAATTTTCATGCATTTGCGAGTTAAAATTCTTCAACTTTGAACTTTAAGTGTTACAGAGACATTATGCCGCCGGTCAGAAGATCGAACATTGATTCACGCAGTCGCAATGCAAGACGATTGGCGGTTCGCCCAGCTAATCAAACTCCTGAGCGACGGGCCTTGTCACATGGCCGATTATATGTGGTATGTTCACGTTTTGGAAAGCCTTCATCTTTGTTTATTTATGCGCCGGATTGACCTGATAAATGATTCCATACACCGATTAACATTCCGTGTAAATAAATGTTATTGAATTCAATTCCATGCTCGAAATTGTTTAAAACAAAAATCAAATTTTGGGTGGGACGAAGTTCGACGGGTCAGCTAGTGTTATATATATATATCTACCTACGCACCCATCTTTAATTGCTGATGTTATTCCTCCAGCATAAATATGTGCTCTCATCTCTCCTCTCATTATTCTCTGGGGGAATGGAAGATCCGCACAAAAGCAAATAATCGAAAAGCGAAATCTAGAGTAACATTTGAACCTATGTCCAAAACGTAAACAAACCAGAAAATGAATTTTATGTTTTGACCGCCACTATTCAATTCATATTCAAGAAAATTGAAGTATTTTAGGCATTTATATTGTTCACAATAACAATAGTAACTGTATTTCAGTATTCAGCATCCAAAATATGCGGAAAGCTTTCAAAAATATATGAAAATCGATAACAATATAATTTCATAAATTAATAAGCCTTTTTTGTGGATAGGCCCTTTTTGTTAAGCCGTTGTGTTTGTCATCAGAAATGGTAGGCTCTTTGCTAAGCCTTTTCGCAACGTCAAATAAATTCAAAACAAATCATCGGTCCTGCCTCAAGCAGTAAGGCCTAGCATTGGTTAGAAATTTTTCAATCATCGGCCCTTCTATGTCACTAGGCTTATCAATGAAATGAAATAAATTAATGGTCGAAAAATCGAAATCGAAAATCGAAAAATTTCGTTGATCTGCCGTTTCGAAAATCGAGTTATTTTTAATGATTTTTCTCGATTATGCGGAACTTTTCTACACAATTAGTAGCCATCAAGCAGTGCTATCAAAACGGTGGTATCAAAACCTGATTTGTTTACGTTTTGGACATAGGCCCATTTCAAATGTTACTCGAGAAATGCAGTTATCCAGGCAGCTGATCTGGGTGCTGTTTATGATAACGGCTCTCGGACCCGTCCAGTTTTCGGAGCCATCCAATTCTCGGACCCATCCAGCTATCGGACCCGTCCAGCTATCGAACCCGTCCAGCTCTCGGACCCGTCCAGCTCTCAGCCCGTCCAGCTCTCAGACCCGTCCAGCTCTCGCACCCATGCAGCTCTCGGACCCGTCCAGTTCTCAGACCCGTCCAGCTCTCGGACTCGTCCAGCCATCGGATCCATCCAGCTCTCGGACCCATCCAGCTCTCGGACCCATCCAGCTCTCGGACCCATCCAGCTCTCAGATCCGTCCAGATCTCTAGGACCCGTCCAGCTGTCGGACCCGGCCAGCTTTCGGACCCGTCCAGCTTTCGGACCCATCCAGCTCTCGGACCAATCCAGCTCTCGAACCCGTCCAGCTCTCGGACCCATCCAGCTCTCGGACCCATCAGCTCTCGGACCCGTCCAGATCTCTAGGACCCGTCCAGCTGTTGGACCCGTCCAGCTATCGGACCCGTCCAGCTTTAAGATCCATCTAGCTTTCACACCTGTCCAGATCTCTAGGACCCATCCAGCTCTCGAACCCGTACAGCTCTCGGACCCGTCCAGTTCTCAGACTCGTCCAGCTCTCGGACTGGTCCAGCATTCAGACCCGTCCAGTTCTCAGACCCGTCCAGCTCTCGGACTCGTCCAGCCATCGGACCCATCCAGCTCTCGGACCCATCCAGCTCTCGGACCCATCCAGCTCTCGGACCCATCCAGCTCTCAGACCCATCCAGCTCTCAGACCCGTCCAGATCTCTAGGACCCGTCCAACTGTCGGACCCGTCGATAGCTGGACCCGTTCAGCTCTCTAACCCGTTCAGCTACCGGCCACGTCCAGCTCTCGGACCCGTGCAGCTCTCGGACCCGTCCAGTTCTCAGACCCGTCCAGCTCTCGGACTCGTCCAGCCCTCGGACCAGTTTAGCTCTCGGACCCATCCAGCTCTCGGACCCATCCAGCTCTCGGACCCATCCAGTTCTCAGACCCATCCAGCTCTCGGACCCATCCAGTTCTCAGACCCATCCAGCTCTCGGACCCGTCCAGATCTCTAGGACCCGTCCAGCTATCGGACCCGTCCAGCTTTTAGATCCGTCTAGCTCTCACACCTGTCCAGATCTCTAGGACCCATCCAACTCTCGAACCCGTTCGGCTCTCGGACCCGTCCAGTTCTCAGACTCGTCCAGCTCTCGGACTCGTCTAGCATTCAGACCCGTCCAGCTCTCGGACTCGTCCAGCCATCGGACCCATCCAGCTCTCAGACTCATCCAGCTCTCGAACCCATCCAGCTCTCAGATCCGTCCAGATCTCTAGGACCCATCCAGCTCTCGGACCAATCCAGCTCTCGAACCCATCCAGCTCTCGGACCCATCCAGCTCTCGGACCCATCCAGCTATCGGACCCGTCCAGATCTCTAGGACCCGTCCAGCTGTCGGACCCGTCCAGCTATCGGACCCGTCCAGCTTTTAGATCCGTCTAGCTCTCATACCTGTCCAGATCTCTAGCAACCATCCAGCTCTCGAACCCATTCAGCTCTCGGATCCGTACAGTTCTCAGACTCGTCCAGCTCTCGGACTCGTCCAGCATTTGGACCCGTCCAGTTCTCAGACCCGTCCAGCTCTCGGACTCGTCCAGCTCTCGGACCCATCCAGCTCTCGGACCCATCCAGCTCTCGGACCAATCCAGCTCTCGAACCCATCCAGCTCTCGGACCCATCCAGCTCTCGGACCCATCCAGCTCTCGGACCCGTCCAGATCTCTAGGACCCGTCCAGCTGTCGGACCCGTCCAGCTATCGGACCCGTCCAGCTTTTAGATCCGTCTAGCTCTCATACCTGTCCAGATCTCTAGCAACCATCCAGCTCTCGAACCCATTCAGCTCTCGGATCCGTCCAGTTCTCAGACTCGTCCAGCTCTCGGACTCGTCCAGCATTTGGACCCGTCCAGTTCTCAGACCCGT